TGTCTCTTTGATAATGTGCAGTCAGGAGACAAAAAAGCATTCACTGAAACAGTAAAACTAATTCATAAAGCTGAAAGACAATAAGGAAGCATTATGGATTTTAAAAAAATGTATTGTAGATCAACTTAATTGTGAAAAATGTAAACAGTTGGGATGCAAAATATAAAAGAACCCTACCATATCAAATTCATTTATAGTGGAAAAAGTTCTACTAGAAACAAGAATGATAATAAAATATAAATGTAATATGTGTGATTTGAATCCTTTTTATTTGCTTGTTTCTTTATTAGTTAAGTAGGTTCAAACCATTAATGCTGCTGATCAGAAACATTAACATAAGACCACAATTAAAGAACAAAAAAGCATTAAAAATGTATACCATATTATAGGAATATACTGATTCATGTCTGTAAATTCCAAATGATATACTTTCTTGGAAGGGGTAGTTTCAGTCTATCCGATACCAGGATTTAGCTCCAGGTCATCTTCCATTAATGCATTAAACTTAGCTGTGGAGGAGGCAGAGGACTGGAGGAAACGGATAAAAGAACTTCCGAAACTGTTCTCCCAACATATTCAGGCAGCCAACAGAACATTACCTTGATAAGAGTTGTACTGGACTGTTGCCATAACTTTTCATGTTACATCAGTTCTTCCCGTGCCTATTCCCTCCCTACCTTTTAAAGCATGATATGTAACATTTTGTTTGAAAATTGTTTCTACCTCTGTGCTTTGTTATAGCTGTTTTGCAGTTTGGTAGAGACGGCAGTACTGTGTCACAAGAAATTACTAATCTGGGGTTTGAGAAGGGACAGTTTAGCCTTCCATTATCTCAGCAGCAAGCTCTGTACAGGATTATTTTAAAATTTTCTGCAACCATTACAATGTGCTGGTATAGTGAGCAAGGCAGCGAAGTGTTTTTGGTACTTGGTTACCAGGGCAGATAAGATGAAAGTGTATCACTGTCCTGGCATCCAGCGTTTGCCGTCAGTGGTGGAAAATTTGATGAAAGGAGTACATTTGGACAAGGAGTATCATTAAGATATGAGACTGGATGCTTTCCATCTGTATTTACCGTAGAGTTTCTCTTTACCCACTGACTGTAGTCCAAGAAAAAAAATATTGATTGTGTAGCTAAACATGTTCCCCACTGCATTAAAACAAGTCTTAAAGAAGTCAAGAATACTACTGTCTAACTACAGGTTTATAAAACTGTGAAAGGAGAACTTGATGGAAAGTTAATTTTTTCTCCCTGTCACTTTGATTTCTTTGTTACTAATAAAATGACTGCTCTGACTCATATTTTGCATAGTTATTTTTACCTTTTCAAATGTTCCTTAACTGTTCATATTACCCTGGGCAAATCCCTGTGGGATAATTTTCATTTGCATGCTGACTTTGATGGGGTTATTAAGCAATCACTTCTGTACTAAGTCATTATTAAAAGTAATACTACAGAGCATCAAAAACATATTAATAATGCCAAACAATCCACATTTCAGTACTAGAGTTCTAGTAAGGAAAAAGCGGTAGGTTTCCTAGTGTTGAGCCAATTCTGCTCTGTAAATCTGCAGTGGTCCTATCAGCTGTAAGAGAAGAGTGCCCATCACAAAATAATGGGATCAGCTTCTTAGTCCTTATTTATTGTCAGCTGCGTTCTTTTACATGTATGTTTCCTTGCCTGCTAAGCTGCCTTTCTCCTGGATTCACCCTGTGCCTATGGCTTTAACAGGAAAGCTGGTCTGCATTCTCCCAGTATACATGGGCTGGATTGATTCTGGGAAGGAGGGTCAGGCTTCCTATACATAATCACTGTTTTATGGCTTTCACTCATTCTTGAGGTGTTAATGCAGATCAAATGGAAAACACTTCAGAAAGGACGTTGGAGCTACTGAACTGCCCTATACGTGGTCCTAATCGTTAATTCTTATTGTAAGATCTAAAGGTAATTTTGTTTGCTCTCCTAATGCGTTGCAGCTCTCCCAGTGGTCCTACCATATCCTTTCTCAAATTCCCATCTTGATCAATTGTTTGCAAATAATTAAGCTTTTAAGAGATAATGGTATGAGGCTAATGTACACAACAAAGTAAAGGTCTCAAGTCACTGTTTATTGAACAGTGGTCCAATTTGCTTTGATATCCTGAAGTGATCTGAGTGATAGGGATATTTGCCAACTGGAGTCACTGCTCCATTTATAAGTGACTGTTTTCTTTTAAAGAGTGTCTCTGCCCCTTTTAAACAAAAACAATAAGAGGACACTGTCTTAGAAACTACCTCTCACGGTTACATGTGTGAAAAGAGGTTTAGCAGCAATAGCTTGGAGTGAATTTCCTATTGCTTCATAAAATGGCAGTTCTCTGGGTTCTCCCTTTATCTCTGTTGCAATGTGATGTCTGCCATTGCCTGTAGCAGGGGCCTTACTAGCCCTGTGGGTGGGAATGCGACAAGGCTTTGAATGTTTTTGTAGCAACTTAGCCTGTGGCATGTTGACTCTTTGTCAAGTCATTTTTTTATCCTACAAAGGAACAACTCAGACTACCCACAAAAAGCTTATATAATAAGGATGCAAAGTGTTTACAATATTTTAAACATGTTGCATTTCATTAAGAAAGACAGAACGAATGAAAGAAAGAAAGAATGAACCTACCTCATTGTGAACTTTTGGCTAAGAAGGATTAGCTACATGAAGTCATGGCTTTCATGTGATTATAGCAATTATAGATTTTCATGAAATTCAAAGTTTATGCTACACTAAGCCAATAACTGGACTATGAAAAAAATCAGATGACCTTAAACATACCATGGTTTAAGGAATTTTGTTTTTATACTTTAAAAGCAATTATTTTTACAGTAGCTGCATTATTCTAGTGGCTAATTTTATCCAGTCTTGTCTATTTGGAAAAAAGTCCAGAACAATTGAAAATTGCTTAATGGAGACAGACTTCTCAATTCCAATAGCTAGAGGCTGTCTAGTAATTATTGCTTGCTGAATGAAAATAGACAGAGTTTGTTCAGTTACTTAAAATCAGATAACATGTAGGGTGGCAAAGCAAAAATAGAAAAAAATAACTTTTTCTTTTTATGACAGTAAAGTAATGAAATGAGAAATAAAGATAAATACATGAAAACTCACAAGTCTGCACTGTAAGCTTTTGACAGGAATGTTGAGGTTATTTCAAGCTGAATGGTTCAATTTATTCTGATGGACTACAGTCAGGTTGATGGACACAGGTAAAAAAATACAGCTGTTAGCTACCTAGAATGTAAGTACAAACATGCTTCTGAAAACAGCACAAATGAACTGTGGCAGTAGTTGCAGTGAATCAAAATGTAAATGGCATTAATATTGTGACTGTAGACAGTAAAGAACTGTCAAGTGGCCAGGCAATTCAGTAAGCAGAGGCTATTGGCACATTTAATGAAATTAAATTGTTTCCATGAAAGTTCTCAATGGATGTACAATATTTCCGCTTGTAAAAATATAGTTACCATTAATTGAAATGTTGCTTATTAGCACCTATAATTAGCTCTATGGAGTTGGACTGGAAGCATTTTTAAAAGGTAAACCTGCAGTGGTATATAAAAGCATGTAGGATATACTTGGTTTTCTATATTTAACTGTAATATTCCATCAGTGGAGCTTTTTCTGTGGCAAAGGCATAGCCTATTGAAAAAGGAGTCTTTTGCAAAATGGTTTTTTTTGCCCCTCAGTTGGGCACAAACTAACAATGGAAAGCAAATAAAGTTACCATGAGGTCTATACTTTGGATTAGGTAATTCAGTAAAGTAGCATATCTATTAGATTTCATATTCTGTGGTTCACAGGAACATGCAAAAGCTGCAAAATAGTTATGATAGCAGTGAGATTCCTGTATTTTATGAGGTTTATAAATTCTTACATTAAAAGGCTTTGGCTTACCTTTCTTGGAATATTGTATTTAATAATAAATCCAAAAAATGTGAGAATGTTTTTGGAAAATGGATTGTGTATAGTGCAATAAAGAACATTGCATAACAAGAAGTGTTAATATGCTGTGTGGACAGGTCCACACAATCTCACCATACAATTTTCCCGGAGTTTTAAATTACCTTTAGTATCTTGCAATGGGTGAGTTTTAAGTTCAGGTTAACTTTGCCTTTAAATGTAAAAAAAGTCTTACATTCAGTATAGGCCAAGGACAGATTATCCTAAACAACACGTTACCTTCCTTAAAAAAAAGTCTGGATTTGTGGTATAAAATTTTACCAATGAGAACAATGAAACAAATGATATTGCTGGTTCCATTCCTAAATTCACACTATGATGTGATTTTTGCTGATAACTTATTAAGCAATTTGTATTCATGCAGAAGTGAATTTTCTGAGAAAGCAATCAAGTTCTCACAAGAAACTTAACTTATGATTTAATTTTAACATTATCTTCAATTAAACTGGTATTTATTTTCTGTCTCTCATGATTAGTGCAGCACAGCTATGTTAATGTCAGGCAAAAATGTGCTGATCATTGGCGTTATATTGGCCTGTGTTCAAAATCCCAGCATTTACTGATGCTCAAGATGCTGATGTTATTTGCAAATTATTTGGGGGCAGAGACAAGATTTGTCTTGGCTAAATGAGATTCTGTCAGTGTATTAGATGTATTTACAGTTTTATAGTTTTCCTTGATACTCTGTGAACTGCAGAGAAAGATTATGTCTTCGCTTTAATCATTCATAATAGGCAAGTACAAAACTTTGTGTTAAGGCAACAAATATCCTTCTTGAGTATCAAGGTACTGGCAGTATCCTAAGCAGTTATTTCTACACTTCACTAATCTTTATAATTGGCTTGTCTTTTACTGCCATTAATTAAATGATCTAGTAGCCCATTAATAATTATAAAAGAGTGACACACCTCAGTATTTTCACCTTTTAATAATAGATGTCATACTTCTTATATTAATAAAAAAGCAGGCAAAACCATTGTTTTAAATATATATATTTATTTTGGTATCTTATAGCACCCGTATCCTTCAGAAGAACAGAAAAAACAGTTGGCACAAGACACAGGGCTCACTATACTTCAAGTGAACAATTGGTAAGAAATTTTGCTTGGTGTTTACATACAATCAGTACTCCAGCCTCTGGCAACCTGCAGCTAATGATTTGTATTATGATGACACACCCTGCAGTTGCCTGCTTTTCCTAGAAGTTTATTGATGCAAAAATGATAGAGCTGCAGACTAGTTTCAGTTATGTGAACTAGTAGTTTTACTGCTGCAGAAACAAATCATGTTTACTTGCTTACTACTTTTTAAGTAGTTATATTTCAGTATATATGCGTTTGTTTGTTGTAATATGATCTTCAATGTAAATATATCTACATATCCATCCTTCAAAAAGTTAGTCACTTAAGAGCTAGAAAAGTTAAGTGACATATACACCAGTCTGCCCACTTTCTGCAACTATATTGATTCTGAATCTAACATTCTTATTATCAACTTGTGTTTTCTTGACTGAGAAAATTAGTCTAGAATGTCATCAGTATACTTCTGTTACTTAACCCCCCCCCCAAAAGAAACATTAAGGAATTTTTACTCTTTTCCCACTGAAAGATCGCAGGAGAAAATGTTATTTAGTTATGCTTAAAGGAAGGATGATAGAGATAGATGGCTTTGAAAATGAAACCTTTGCAGTTCCTAAAGCAGATTTTGAGTTGCTAATTATATGAAGCAGGCTTCTGGATCAGGAAAAGTGTTCAGATTTAAGTAAAAAAATATAGCAGCAAGGTTGTTGGGTTTTTTTAAAGTATGATTTATTACTCTTTGTTGCTGCACTGAAATTCAGGTTTCATACAATATATTAGAACAAGTGTCATATTTGAAGTGTATTGAAATCTAAAACCCTGTAAAACTAAGTGTATCTAATTAATTGTCCTAATATTTTTAGATTAGTGTTTATGATGGGAAACCTTATCCTCTTTGAAGTAATACCCAGAAAATGGGCAAAGCAAGCAGCAAGCCTGCTGGGGAAAAGGGAGGGAGGAGTGCCAGTTTGCAGACAAAAGTATTTTTTCCTGTTCAATAAGTGTCAGAGATTAATATTATTGAAGCTCTGATTACATGGCCTAATCCATTTTAGTGAATAAATTTGGTCTTGATGTCCATTGCACCTACATTAACAAACCCTCCTCAGCTAGAGAGAGTAGGAGCCTATGGGAGAGATTTCAGATATATTAAACCCCATTACAGAAAATGTAATTTCTGTCAATATAATCCCATGTATTCTTCAATTTAGTACTTTAGAGATAACAAGCTACTTACAATATATTTGCCTTTGGAGGATTAATTTACAAAGTGCACTATCTGTGAGACACAGGCAGACTCACATAAGCATAGCTTGTAAGGGTTATCAATTTCTGTGACCTCACAGCAGCCCTGGGAGATCAATTTTTTTGCATCCCTTTAAGATACTGAATAAAGGAAGGGACAGAATACTTTGTATGTTGAACTGAACATGCACATATTTACTTTAAAAGGGAGAAATAATAAAGTCCTAAAAAAAAAATTTAAAAATATATTTTCATAGCAAATATGGACTTCAGTATTCTAGATCAACCAGGAGAAAAAGAACTTTTATTGCCCCAACCTTTGTCCAATTAGTACACTAATTTATACTGTTGTCCTTCAATTGAATGATAGGTATTTTTATCCATTTTAGGAGCCATGTGAATTTACCACTGCCTCTATTTTATGATATGGCTGAGTAAAAGATTGTTGCTGTGGGAAGGTTCTCGAAACGTATTGCTGTGTGCAGTTGGTACATCATCACATACCATGCCTTACTTGAAACCCTGTTCCTACAGGTGCATTTGCTTTTCTTTCCATCTTATATCTGCAAGTAAAAATAGTCTGGTAGCGCAGCTACTGTATATGTGTCATAGGGATAGTTAAACTGTTCTGGCAGGGATGTATAGCAGCCCTCAGCAGAAATCTCGTGTTGGGAGAACCTTACAGGACTGATACTGTGAAAGAAAGTCTGAACTGGGAGGACAGATTAAAAAAAGTAGGCTCTTTCAATCAACAAGAGAGAGCGTGAATGGAGGATTTGACTAAAGCATATGATTTCCTATGGACAAGTGTGGCAGTTTAAAATTGGCCACTAAAGAAGTTTTTAAGAGCTAATGAACACAGCATGCTTTGAACTAAAGCTAGTAGGTTTTTTCTTGAGTGACGTTTTGGTCTCTCTTTGTACCCATCTTGCCTTATGTATGAAAAGTTCTATTTTGGCTTTGTGTCAAATACATCTTTATAAGTTCCTTATGTGCACAAAAAAAAATAAATCTAGGTCAAAATACATTATAACTGATGTCTCCTGGATGTAGGGCAGTCATACTGCGTGTGCTAGCATGATTATGCTTCCATGGAGTTACACTTGAATTATGGTGTTTGTTCTTGAGACAATTCCCCCCCTCATTGCCTTCCCCAAAATTAGAGTGCATCAAGCCCATCAAGTACATTTTTAATCATGTGTATTTATGTATGATTTTCTAGTGATTTTGACGGGCAAAATGTAGTATACAGGCTTCTTACCTGTTAAAAAACAGGTCCAAAATGTCTGAGAGGGCAGGTCACGCACAAGACTATTTTATAAAACAACAGCCCGTGGGATAAACATGGAATAATTCATCTGCTCCCCAGTGTTGGGGAGTCATGTAATACTCTCCCAACATTTTTGTTAATACATTTTTTATAATGTGGTATGCATGAGAACATTTTTTTTTCTTAAATTGTTTGCTTCAGGGAACAGCTAACATATCATTTATGGTTTACTTTGCCTTTCTTCAGCTTGCTCATAAGTCATTCAGCCACAACTTTCAAAAAATTTTGCCTTCCCTTCTTAGATTCTTCAAAACTTGTTAACACACATGTACATTTTTGTATTAATGATGAGTCATTGTAAATCACTGTTGCAGAGATTAAATGAAATGCTGAAGGGCAGCCTGGGTGCAGATCAGTCATAAATTATTGGCAGCAACACAGCATGTGGGAATACATGAAATGTGCATGAAAAACATAAACTCATGTCTGGTAGCATGGTAGTTAGCCCAGACAGGGAATGTTGGATTTTCTGGATAGAATTATAACTTTG